CTTAACCCATTTTCACACAGACGTGTTGTGGTGTTTGTACTGAAAGGGGTTTTATTCTTTTTCTTCCTAAAAAGTTTTTTGTACACAGTGAATGCTGAGCAATCCAAGTTCTGATTTAGCTCAATTTGTCATAAATTCTACCTAGACCAAAAGGATTTTATCCCTAATTTAATGTATTCTTTTGAACATTTTTGCTCCTCAGACCCTGTATTAGATTGCTCCGGCATCTCACTCCTTCAGTGGTGAAGGACCTACTAATTTCCAGACTAATTTTATTCATGGCCGGTTTAGACCCATTTGTTCTTGTGTCAACATTGTCCTCTAGTTTAAATTGCTCCTTTGACTTCCTAGTGTTTATCCTCCTGATGTATTTATAGTCAGCAATCATATCTGCTATCAGCCTTCATTTGGCTAGACTAAACAAGCCAAGCTCTTTCAGGCTCTTCTCCTGTGATGGGCTCTTCACTGCCAGCATCTGGTCAGATCTGGGTTGCTTAGCAGCGAATACAGGGGACCTGGACTGTGCACAGCATCCTGATGAGGCCTTAGTCTTGGCACAGGGAATTAATATTGCCTTATCTTCAAAGCTGATACTGCAGACTATGGATTCACCAGAAGTACGTGTGACCTGCTCAGCAGCAGGGAGCTGGTGGGACATGATGCCAGTCCTCCTTGCTTGTGTCTGATAAACCAGCTTCCAGAAGAGTTTTCTTGCTAGTCCCTTGCTGTGTGTTCTTGTATTTTGTACACATCTAGTTTCTATTATTTGACAGGTTACTTTTCTTCCAACCTGTTACTTCTTCCTGTACAAGGCACTTCTTTTTCCACCAAGCTTTTGATCAACTTCCTATTAATCAGCTTAACTGATTTCTTCAACTCATTCCCATCTTCTGGAATTTAGCCAATGTATTTCTTTGTGGCAGTGTATCAGATGATTGACAGAAGAGCAGACAGATTAGACCTGCCACACTTTCTTTAATTATTCTGTCCTTCCTAATTTTTTCCTTCAAGGGCCCTTCTTAGCTTTTAGGTCAGACTAAAAGCTCTGCACTTATCAAGATGGGGATTAAGCAGCACATTTACATTCTTCTAGTGTGACAGTTGGTTAGATTTATTAAAAATACTGTCCACTGGGCCTCCCAGGGTCTTCACTGTGGCTGGGTTTTTAGCCTGGACCCCTTGGGGCAGAGGCTCGTTTCTTTAGTTCCACAGCATCACCATCAGAGGAAACATACAGTAACCATTTCCTTTCTCTGGGTTAGGACCATTTTATGTTACTGCAATGCTGTTGTTTCTGCCCTGTGCTATCTAAAATGTCATCTTTGTAAAGAAAGAGAATATAAGAATTATTCTGTATGATTAAAATGCCATCAAGAAAATGTCTCTTGTGCTTGGGGGCATGTGGCTGCCTATTTTGTTTTTTAATAGTTGTAACAATACTAATAATATTAGGACAACAAACTAAGATGCCCCTGGAGATGTTGTGACAAATTGGAAGGACATGTTGAAATTGATTGAATAGTTCAATAAAATGAGCTTAATGCACAAGAGCAAAAAGGTTAGCTACAGGAAAAAAACAAAAGAAATTGCTAAGTTTTTATCTGCTGGGGCCAATCTCACTGGAGATTGAATTAGTTATAAACTAAAACTAAATACTTAAAAGCACCACTCTTGCATGCCCGCACAGGAGCCTTTCAGAGCTGGACATGAGTGCCAATTGAGTGCCTAAAGGTTTGACAAATCTCAAGACTACTTTATTTGGTGGACTTGGCAGTCTTAGGTTTACAGTTGAACTTGATGGTCTCAGAAGTCTTTTTGACCTAAATGTTTCCGTGGTTTACATGTCTATGATTTACATATCTGTGTTTTGTACAACTTTATGTACAATCAAGGCCATTCTCCATGACAGATTGCACTTTTGCTCTAAACACAAGCTGTGTGTTCAGCAGATGGAAATCAGTGCAACTTTGGTGATGTCTCTTAAGTTTGCACCACCAGCTCACCTCTCATATGTCCCTGATTGCTGCAGCTGCCTCCAGCATCCTGAGAGGTACAGCACCTATCTGAGATGTGTGCATTCCCCTAAAAATCCTACCTGATCACTCCATCCATTTGAGATCTCCTATAATTCCTTGTATTTTCACACTAGGATTGGGCTTGCATGCGTGCAATGCTCCTTTGCCATCCTTCCTTTCATCCCATCCTTATGCTCTTTGTGGCTGGTATATTTGTACATCACTAAATTCTGGACATTTTCTTTTTTGGCATTGTATTATGTGATTGATAAAATCTTTCTTTTAACTTTAATTTATCATTCTGAATTTGTGTGGGGTTTTATTAACACTGCTGTGATGCTCAAGGAAAGGTGTTCTATTAAATAAAAGAACCTTATTGTAAACCTGAGATTAATAAGACAGTGTCTGTGAGTGTGCACACACACAGATGTGTGTGTCATTGGAGTATGTGTAATCTAATAAGCAGTAAAATTGTGAAGTTAACAAAGCTTTTAAATGAGACTTTCTAGTCCCTTACCCCCTCTTGTATGAGAGAATACATTTTTGCAGGGGATGCTTTGGTTGAGAAGTGAATAAAGGAGCTGAAGGCGGTGGGAGTTTAGAGGCTGGGTCATGGTATGAAAAAGTGCAGTGCAGACAGAGTGTGACCTTACCCACAGTCTGCAGCTTGTTCTCAGAGTTCAGATAACGCTGTCACGAGCTGTGGAATCACTTCTGGCACAGAAGCAGAGCTGCCTTTGCCATCCCCTTTCCGGAGGCGCACTGCCGTGATGGTCCCAGCTCGCTCCGGTGGACACATCCATGAGCTGTGAAATAGAAAACCACCAAAAAGCAGGGGAAAAAATCCTAAAACAGAAACACCCCTGTCAATGAAAGCTGTTTAATCCTCTCTCAGCTGATGGGAAGGAAGGAACGTATTTTTTTCCTGCAGTTGCTGCTGAAGTACTGAAGCTTTTACAATAATGAACGTGTTACAGCTGTGCCATCACATCGGAAACGCTGGGAATTACGTGTCTCCATCTCACTGCGGTGAGCAACGTTAGAGATGGCTTTGCCATCTAAATGCACTGTTGAAATGGTATCTCTCATGTGGGCCTCTGACCTGATTTTCTCATTTATGTGGGATCTGATTGCTCCTGGTTTTGTTTTCTTTTTTTAAACATTTTCCCCCCTCTTCTAAGATTTAAACCTAATTTGTCTCACAAGGGTTTGGCCTGTTAGAGAATACTTCTGTCAGCCTCCCATGTTGACTGTAAAAGAGAATACGAAAGGAAAAGCGAAATATGAAATAGAAATTACACTCACTAGTAAGGACATTTCTGTTTTTCAGTTACCCAGTGCTTTACGAACGTAGTAGTGAACAGCAACCCTTTGTGTGAGGAAAACCAAAGGCTAACAATAGTTTCTCCCTCATGTTCTATTGTACAAGGTGGCAAGAGATAATGGAAGTGCATTTCCATAATATATTCCAGTTGCAAGTTGCTGATGGATCCCTGTATGTGATGGGTTGTCAATTTAGCAGGTTAATATCTGTCAGTTAAGTCCTGGAATCAAGGTAAAGTTGAAATTTAGATCTCTGTTATTCTAGCAACTTGGAAGAATTATAGTATTAAGCCAATTACAGCACCTCAAGAATGTTTATATAGGAGTGGAGAGACCTAATAGACCTGATTCTTGTCTTTGGAGATTTCAAAGGACGTTTGACATTTTATCCAGGCTTGTAACATCGGCACAGGAAAGGAGCAGCCCTCGAGACCCTAAGCTGTGTTCTGAGAGCAGAAACAATCCAGCATCGAGGCAGTCTGTCCTCACAGCAAAGTCCCTCCACTTGGCTTTGCAAAAAACTTTTCCTGCATAACGTTGTGCCTCGGTTTGGTTCTTCACACCCTTCAGGCTCTCTGATGTGCCCTCAGATCTGCTTGCTCCTTGCACCCCAGCTCACATCTGTAATTGCACCTTAAACCTTAAGGAAGAGAGTGTAATGTGTAGTTTTGCCCTGAGTCACACTGATTTTGTTGTATCCCTTCCTGGTTCTTGGCACATCACTCTGCCTGTATTTCAGGAGAGGATCTTTGCTTTCATACCCACCTGGGAAGTGCTCTGCATACCCTGAGCAAGACACAAGTAGGCATCAATAGTAAATTCTGCTGATCCAAATGAAACGGTTCTTGTTGAGGCCAGTTTTAAAGATGAGAAGGCTTTTTGTGGAGTGGGCAGATATTCCAAAGTCAAGAGACATCCTAGGGAGATGTACACACATGCAAGCTCAGATGCCCTCCTCTGTTTTATTCAGGTCTGTTTTCCAGTCACATTGACACAGTGTCTTTTAGAAGATCTTTAATGGGTGATTTTTATGGCTGGCTCTGTAAGGCTTTTTCTTTAAGAACCCGGTTGCTTGGGGTGCTCAGGAATTTGCATCGGTTCTGCTGAACTTCTCTTTATTGCACTGAATATTTTATTTTTTTATTTTTGTTTTTCATACTGGATTAAAATTCTCCTTATTTACCAAGATTGTGTTAAGGATTGAAACATGGGGAGTATTTTAAGTATCAGAATGCTTCGTGGGCATCGAACTGTGTGAGCAGAACGAGCTGGAGAGCTGCCACGTAATGTTGCTGTCAATTTGGGGAGTGTAATGTTCTTAGTGATGTTTTCGATGAAAACACATTAGCAAAATTTTTACTGGTTTTCAGAAGGCAGAAACTAATGTTGCTGAAAATGCTTAAAAACTAACAGAAATGTCTGTTTTGACCAAGGAATTTTGCCCGTAAGATGTTTATTTTCCCATAAAGTGGGTGCTATCCACCAATCTCTGTAAAAATACCTTCAAAAACCCAGACAATAATATCTGGGGTTTTTTTACTAAGATCTGGAATCTGATTAACTTCTTAGTGTGCGTAAAGATTGCACTTGTACGTGGAAAATAAACTAAAGCATTTTACAGGATGCATTTTTATTTCTAATCTTTTTCTTTTCATTTTCCAGAAAGTTCAGCAGTATATAGTCATTGTTCAAGCCACAGATATGGAAGGAAATCTTAACTACGGTCTCTCAAACACAGCAACAGCAATCATTACAGTGACAGATGTGAATGACAACCCACCCGAATTCACTACAAGCACTGTAAGTATTGATACATCAGCGCCATGATGCATGGACACATAATGCTTGTAATTCATGGATGTTTATATCCTTCATCTCTCTTAGCTGGTTTGGCAGATAGGAAGAATGTGATAGATAACCGTGGAACAAAGACTTTCAGGCGGAAAAAGAGGGGGGGGGAAGATAAGAATGATTCATGAACTAGCAAAACAATTTGGTGACCAGTTTTGCTAAGGGAGTAAAGAAGCTGAAATAACGTGGTAAACAGAGGATGTCTGAATACACCAAAGAGGATACAGTTGTTACACAACAACTGGCTATAGGCATATCAGAGTTATTATTACTTGTAGTGAAATCCTGAGCAGTAAGAGATATTTTAGGTTTACTATCTTGAATATGATTTCAAGGAAGCAGTAAATATTCTATATGGTAACAGGTATCCAGTAAAATCTGTACTTCATTGACAGCTCTAACAGATGTATCTGTGTGTGCTGGCAGTAAATGTGTAGACATTCTTCAGTACATCTGGTTTTAATCAGTTAAAGGTCTTTCTTATATTAGCACAGTATTTCTTTATTATGTCCTCATCTGCTCCCAGTTGCTATTACTGGGGGACAATGGGGAAAAAATAGACTGCAAATGACAGCTTTTTAAAGCTGGTTGAGGTAAAAATGAAGAGTTGGAAGTTGAAATGATAGGCTCTGGTTCTTTCCAGCCTTCTGATAAGACACAGACCATCTGAAATGTGCATAGCATGTAGACCTCTACTGCTCTGAGGTTTCTAAAATTGCTAATAAATGAGAAATCCACTGTCTATATTCATATGAGGGTCTACAAGGAGCAATAAATGATGTATCTTAAACTGATACCAAATCTTTAAAAATATGGCAAGTCTGACTGTGTAGTGCTCAAGTCACTGAGCATCCTTTGAGGAATCCTTTTGTTCTTTGTATTATTCTGAATTTTCATTCCACCTTAGAGGGTCTGCAAATACTTATTAACAAAATACTGAAATTTCCCCTTACAAACTATAAATACGTAGCGGAACTCAAGGCAGTCATGCAGAGCCCAGTTTATGCCACCGTGGACTCAGGTGTGCCCTGTGCCAGCTGTGGAGTCTGGGTCCTTCCCTCCCATTGCTATTGGGTCCTGTGCTCATGGATGCGATGTGCTCAGCTCCTGAGCAGTGCCAGAATTTTCTGACTAAGTGACTAGATTCCACTAAGTTCTTCCTGAACCAGAGAAAAACGGGGACCCAGCTGTTTTTCAGATCTGGGTGTCTATCTGCAGCCTGTGCATAGGGTGGGTTGACATGCTCTTTATACCTGTCATAGTGAACACACCGAGCTTTGTGTTGAAAAGTTATCGTTGAATATCTTCTTAAGTATGATGCATACAGTTGTGAAGAGCCCTAAAAATCTGATAGAAGTCTTGGGGCGTGTGCTCCTTTCTCCTTCCAGCATGGGATTGTTCTCTGGGAAGTTTTGTAGCGTCCAGTGTTAGAGCTTTGTGTCTCTCAGGCCATGGGACTCTTCACCACAGCAATAAGCATACTCCAGCTTCCTAGTGTTTGCAGGGGGACCTTATTCTGCCAGGTAAATACTACTTTAACTTGCATTTGAGTGAAAAAGGAATGACATCTAGTGGCCATGTCATTCAAGCACAGGTTGTTCCAGATGACCCAGGTTGCCTGATCTTTTCCAAGCGCAAGTCCGGAGCTGAGGCTTTGGGTAGCAGGATGAGTGTGTCGGGGTAGTCACACCTGCACATCAGTACCTTCTGGTAGGCAGTGTCCCTCCCGATGTGATGAATTTTAATGCCTTTCCAAAACACTTTCCAAAGCTGAATCTGATGCAGGTGAGATAATGGAAATTTCCTTTAAGGTGAATCCCGAGTATTTAATGTCTCTGAGTGTTACACGTGGAAGGAATAAAAACCATTAAGAGAATTACCCATAGGATTGTGTTAAATGGATTAGAAAACGCTACTCTTCCTCTAAGCAGGGTTGATGTGTAGCATTATTTATCTAATTTCAATCATTGAGGATTTTTCGAGAACCAAAGGGCTTTATACAGTAGAACATGAGACTTTATAAAGATTTGAAAACTAGTGGTGTTTTACAGTTATATTTTCTGATTCTGTGGAAACAAATATCTTTGATATATTCCCTGGTATAGGCAGGATGTATTTCACATGAGTATGAATGTATAATATGGTTTTCCCCTGACTGACAGAGAGAACAGTATCAGGCTGTCTCTATAAATCTGAGCTGAATCTCCTTGCTGTCCTCAAATAGGCTGATCTGCATTTTAGCACCTCTAAAAACCAGCAGAAATCTCTTTGCAGGAAATCCACAGCTCCTCAGAGGGTAAGAAAGCCCATGGTCTCTTTTAAGACTGGGGACTGTTTGGAGAGACATGGGATATCTATATTTTGAATACTTGTGTATTGAGATGCTGTTGTAAAAACAAAATAGGCTGAATAACTGAAACTGTGGTTTGCTCTTGGAAAGCTGCCAGACGAAAGGAACTCGAGGAACCGTATTCAGCATAGACACATACAAAGGCCCACCCTGTAGTGCTCCTAAATTACCTGTCATTCACCCAGGGTGGGTTTAGACTTAATCGTTTCTGGGTAAGAATGTAGCTCAGGCGGACACTGCATCATGCTGGTGTCACAGCTCATGGATTCAGCAGCAGGAATTAATGTTGCTGCATAAAATTTAACAACAGGACGGGAGAGAAGAAAACAGCCACTGGGATGGCCAAGGAAGTCAGGTCACGTCTGCAGCTGAGCACACTGTGCAGGGGGAGAAGAGACCTGCATGCACAGACCATGTGAAAGTTTAGACACAGGCACACAAGTGACAAAATGCCACATTGACAGGGTAACCAGTGGAGGTGTCTTAGCTAATGGACATCCAAAATACCAGATGGGCTGTGATCAAGTGTAGTGCTAGATAACAAGTGGAAAAAGAGCAATAAAGTGACACAGAAGGTCCTTAAGTGTACAAGTAGAAGATACTCCAGTAAAACTCCAGAAAGATTGCTTGCTTACATGAAAATAGTAAGATTGATGTGGATTTCACACCCTCTAGAACATCACTGGAAAGGCTGGGGGAAGATCCTGCACAACAGCAGGGGACGAAACAGCCCCAACTGAAATTATACCGGGAGGTGGGAGGAATCACAGTCTCGAAGTGAAAGCAATTTTAAACTAAAGCCAACTGTTAACTTGAGTGCAGTCTCCATCAGCAAGGGGCATTGACCAGTCCTGGAAGTCACAACCAGGACTACCTGCGTTGAACTGTGAGGTGCTGGGGCACGGTGAGGGTGATCTCCTGTAATCCTTTCCAGCTCTGTTTATTGTGATGGTGAATGTTTTCTTACCTGTGATGCTTTCTGGCCATGCTGAAAAGCATCAGAGAGCTAACAGTGAGGAAATCTCTCTCTTTCACGAGAGATCCATGAGTCCCAGATCAGAAAGCAATCAAATCTGCATCAGGAGAGTGGAGCATCCTGTGAAACACTGTTAGCATCATAGGCTGCTATTCTGGGCAATTGTAATGATTTAGTCCAGGACGGTGACCCAGAGAACACTGTTGTGGACAGCTAAGGGATTTCAACGTGCTCTTTGCATTGTGTTCTTCGTGTGACATTGTTGCTTACTGGTGTAACATAGTGACATTTTGACAGGGCTGTGTTACAACAGCTTTGTAGGAAGCTTTATTGGGGAAACCGGCTCCATTCCTCTTACAAGATAATGGAACTGGTATCAGTGTGTCCTCCCTTATACAGAGCCCTTGTTCCTCCTAACAGGGTCATGCCCTCTGACGTGTTTTAATTATGTGGAAATTCCTCAGCCTCCCTTCAAATATTTATCTCTCATGTGCAGGCGAGTTGCATTCTCTCCGTGTTAATACAGATCTGTAGCTGAGCCTCTGGCCAGATGCTCATCTCAGATACAGGGGGGCGCAGTGAAATTAGTATTTCAGAGATTAAAAGTCAGCTGAGACAATGCTGGATAGTGTCGGGTGAGATTTTGTGTAATGTGGGAGCATCTTTTTTGCTCACAGAAGGAATGCCTTTAATTCCAGTGAACTCGTATCAGGTAGGATGCTTTTTCCAGGCTGACCCATGATACTGTTAATGGCCATCCAGGGGTTTCCACTTTACCTAAGGAAATTCATAATCAGAGGGGAGGAGAAGTGAAAGAAATCCATGCCTACACTTGGCTCATACAAAGTCTATTTTTATCGTATTCAATCAGGAACAATCAGGCGCCGAGAGGAGACGCAGATGAATTTGCATGATCAGACTTCTGTGTCTTAAATGTTAATTAAAAGTTATTTTAAATTTGCCTACTGTGCAGAACTTGTTTTTATAGTAGCCTGTGTAAGGGAAATATTATTTTGCAGGGCTGAAGTGCTTGTGATTAGTTGAGGTTGTGGGTTCTTGGGAAAACCTGCCTGGCAATCAACATCTCCTTTAAAAAAACAGAAAAGGAAAGAAAGGAAGGGGAAAAAAGAATCTGGGTTATTGAAGTTCTTTAAGCTCCTGAGCCTTAGGAGGTCTTATTTAAAGCTACTTTAAAATTTGCCCTTTGGCACTGCTTTGAGAATCTCCTCTTCCAAGGCTGAATCCAGTGGAGTATGTTTTAAAGAGGCAGCTCTAGGACCACATCCCCTTCACCACGCTGCTTCACTGGCTAATCTGGGCACTGAATTACATTAGGAACAGCTCTAAAGGTTTAAGAATGGACTACTGGGCAGGGGTGGATGCTTCCCAGCTCACAGTGCCCAGGCAGCATTGACTCTTGCTGGCCTGGCAAAAACAATCTGATCAAAGGCTGGCTGTGAGCTCAAAGCAGAGCACCTGGTACAGAATAACACCCTGTGTACATAGAGGCTCATATTCTAGCAGAAGAGCATGTATAGCTGGGTAAGATTAACCTAGTTACGAAGTGGATTTCACTAGTCATTGGAGGAGCAAGTACTTGTTGCAGGTACATTAGAAAAATCA